ATACTTGGTTTCTGAAGGGGCACAATCCTTGATGCAAACAGCCCTTCACCAAGACTAATAAGTCACTTTGACGGAGGACGGCGAACACATCAAAACTAATAACTTCGAGAAATTTCAATAAATAAGTGCATTCTCGCAACTTTCGAGGGCTGCAACATTTAAAGCACACACGGTACAATAAACACCACAAGAAAACCAGAGGGTTACAGACTGAAAGGGTACGTGAAGGACCCAAGCACAAAGACTAACTTTCTCGGGATTTTTGCTCAGTCCTGCTCGCACAGCAAAATGCTGATTTCCAGTTGCAACCTGCCTTACTGCCATTCCCGTGATTCGTCCAATGGTTGTGCCTCGTTGTAACAGCATCAACGGGTGAGGAATACGCACACTATTTATTAAGATTTTTTTCATCTGTTTCAAGATCGTCTGAGATTGCGATATCAAAGAAGATCATACAATCTTGAGCAACCAAATCAGCCATTACAGTGAATATCATATTTAAACAAATAACAATGACCTGAAAAAAAACAAGGAAACAAAAGATATCTAATTCGATAACCAATCAATACAATACAATACATATTTACAGTTCTCTTCAATCATCTGCTCTAACTAGACATGCTACTTTAAACAAAAATCGTAAAACTTTGGTGTCATTACAAAGGTTTACATAAGTCATATTATAAGAGAATATCCTCTAAAAAACTATGATACTAAATACCAGATCATTTCTACCGCTTGAATCGTCTAGCTACTGGATTGAGATACTTTCCAAGAAGGCGTTCACCGAATTTACTTTCTTCAGTCTTCGGTGCGAACTCTTCTTCATTCGCAATCAAATCTGTGCCAGCCTGTAGTCGAGCTACTAGTTCTCGTTCGAACCTGGAACATAGTTTTGTCATCCAAAGTAGAATACATGGTCAGCTCTAAATCGGACATCAAAAAGTAGAAATATACCTATAAAGGACTTTAGCGGGAATTAAACAAAGAAATTGATCGTAGAAACTTCCTCTACATTGTGGAGGCGAATCCATTCATGTAAAAAAAACATCCGAAACAAATAAATAAATTAGAACATTAGCAGCAATAGAGAATGCATAACAGCGTGCAATTTCTCTTGCATATCAGGCAAAAACTATCTAGTAAGCTTAAGAGTTTACAAAGGCTTCTAATGGATACTGCTCTTATTGAATTTTCTAGATATTATAAGAAGTAGAACATGGTATTGCAGACACAATAAGAAGAAAAAACTTTGCTCTATCAAAGAATGTAAGCTCAAGCACCTAGTAGCATATCTGACACATCGCTATAACGCCCGGCATCCGGAAAAAATCCTCCTCTCCAAGACCACGAAT